TATATCCATTTAACATACAGTATATTTATTATAACATTGTTCTGTGTGTCAGAATGAAAGACAGCCCACACACCTATCAATCATCAAACCGTGGGGTCTTATTTCATTACGTGTTGATTTCTGTCTTTGTGACACAAGTGACGGTACGCATTTCAGATTGTTGCCGCGCATGCGTACCTGCGTACCAGTTATGTGCACCCCTGTACTACAGCAAAAGTATTCTCCGTCGGGACTTCCTGCAACAACACCACGCCGTTATCTTGATNGCAGGGGGCCCGGGCAGACTGGGCTGTGACATTGAGGTGATGGGAACTTAAATCATTCGCCATTGTCTATCTGTTGCAAGCTGGGAAGTACTGCTGCCCAGCTGAAGGGTGATATGACCTCGGAAAGCAGGACAGTATGCTGTGGAACACACACACACACACACACACACACACACACACACACACACACACACACACACACACACACACACACACACACACACACACACACACACACATGCACTAGTTGGCCCTCAGGTTTCCATTCTGTCCACTCACTGATCATACCATATGCTTGAAACACTCCAGGCCTGATACAACCAATTGCTTTTCAGAAAACATGTTGATATGAAGGCATAATTCTTTGGATGTTTTGGCTGCTTCCTGAAACTGATTACATTAAAGTCAATATGGGTTACTTAAAGTATTTTTGTTGTGTGGTACTTTAACTGTAAACACGATATGGTGTTTTAAACTCTGATAAATATTTCTGACATTCGACAATGAATTTGCATCCATTTTGTATTCTATCTGGCATGTATAACAGTTTGGTGACTGTTATAGTCGTCATGATTTTCCTTAAGTACCAGTATAACTTGAATGGATGCTTAATGTATCTCAGACAACCCTCCAAGGACATTGCTCCATTGTGATAGGAAAGCACTTCAGTCCTTCTGATGAGATGTGTTCACTGTCAAACTGAAATATCCCACCCCATCCCACCACTTCCACCATGTTGTTACCATTTCTAAAAGCACTTTGCTCTCTTGCTCTTCCTTCCAACCGGCATGGGAAGTTATTCTAACTGGCGGCCTACCAGCTTTTCTGTATAGCTAAATGAAATGCAGCAGTTCTAAGAAGAGGCTGTTCCTACATCACCCATTTTGCAAATTGTAGCAAGGCCTCCTTCTCTCCCGGGAACACAGTGCCTTATGCACCATTACTGCTATAAATAATCTTTTCCATAAACCATGCACTTCCATTGGTATGTGATTATAATTTCATTTCCACCTACTGTCATGGGGGTCATGAAAGTGGAAGTGGAGTCTTGCTGCTTCAGATAATTGTAGACGGACAGTCGTACTTTTGTCCCAGGTGTCTTATTTTTTTCAAAATGAAATGTAAATGGGTAATGTTCTGCCAGTTTGTTTACCATTACAATACAGCATCCCTGAGCTCTAAGTGTTTTTTCCTCAATTGTGTTTCACTAATTGCCCCCTGAGCGGAAGTAGTTTTTGTCCAATTCTCTGCTTAAATGAATACAACATTCTTCTCTATTTCTTTGTGTGGTTATATTAAAAGAACATTAAGATACACAGTGACATTACTTTTAGGAATTAGCAAAGCTTCACATTTTATTTGAACAATCCCTTGCATTTAACTTTTCCTTCCTTTTTTAACTGTTTTCATCCTGGTATGAATTAATGATAATAATCAAAAACCAGGGAGTATTGGCTAATATTTTCTCATAGGACATCATTAACCAAACCTCATGTTGTATTCATTTTGCTGCCTCTCCGTGATGTTCTCGTCCTAATAAGTCCTCAATATATTAACTTTATCATATTCCTTGAAAAGATTGGCACATTTAGTCAGCATTATTAAGGCACTATCAATTAAAAAGTCAGCACTAGGGTAAAAGATGGTGTTTATCTTTGTTGATTTTAGTCATGAAGTAGAGTATTCTCCTGAAAATCTCTACTTCTCGCTTGCTGAGGTGACAAATGGCAGATAAACCAAGACAAAAAATAAGAAATTCAAGAAAACCTAAGCTCTACGTTGGCCATAGACTGTTTACTCACAGATCAGACCCCTATCTTATCTAACTGAGTTCCCTGGAGTTAGCACACTCAGCCTGTCCGCAAACACAACTCTGCTCTCCCACCATCCCCTGAATTCCTGGTGTCTGAACCCGTGAACCTTTAATTTGTTTTTTTGGTTGGAGAAAAAGGAAATGAATGAATGCAATTCAGGCCTGCATGTGTGCCTTTGTGTGTCCTTGTGGAGATGCTTCAGAGGCTTGTCTGTCTTCTTTTCAGAATGATATTGCCTGCCTTGTTAAGCAAACAGAATCTGTGGTGGATGTTATTGTACCTCAAGGTGTTTCAGTGTTCTGTATGTAGTTACTGTATGTGTGTGTGGAAAAACATGGAGGATTTACCTGCTTTTATTAGCAGGTCTTTCCTTGTAGTTAAACCCGCCTGTTGCACTTGGTCGTGCACTGCGTCAGTATTTGGTGATACAGACATCTGCCCTGGCAGTTAACTGGCGACTACCCCTGTAGTTATTATAGTACTCTGTAAAGGGAACCTTTCGTGCTGTCTGGAGACAGCCGCCTTAATAAGACTCTGACAAGTTCAGGTTCCTTCCTCTGAAGTAAAAGGACATTATCTTTCTTTCTTTTTACCTTTTCTCTTTCACCCAGTCCCTGTTTTTTTATTTTCTGTGATTCTTAGTAGTCTGTAAATTCATACTGCCTCTGCTCCTTTCTTTTTAATCTTGTCCTATATCTAGCCCAAAGCAGGCTTTGATGTTCAGTGTCTTTACTCTAAGGCTGCTCTGGTGCAAAAGAAACACCCCATCCCCCCTGTTATTTAATAAAAACACTGCAGGTGAAAATAAACCTGCTCTTCATACCCGTGACTTTTTTGGGGACAGCGGTTCAGCTAGCTGTTTCCATTACATTACACTTAATTCATCCGATCATTTTATCCAAAGCAATAAGTGCTATCAACCTAGGGCTGCTCGATTATGGCAAAAATCATAATCTCGATTATTTGGGTCAATAATTGATATCACGATTATTAAAAACGATTATCCATTTACTTTGAAAACATCAATTTATTGAAAAAAAAAAGGTGTAGTATGTTTTTAACAGTTGATTAGCCTGAACTTTAAGTATAATTCAATTGAAAAACCAATACAAAAATATATCATTTCTTTTTTTTTTAAATAAATAATAATACAAAAATAAATAATAATAATAATAATAATAGTTAATAATAGTTTTATTTCGATTATGTTGTTTTCATAATCGTTGCAAGCCAAGATCGTAATTGCGATTAAAATACGATTAATTGAGCAGCCCAATATCAACCATGAAGATACAAACTCAAAACGAAAAGAGAATTGCGCAAATACATTAGCTTTCAATATTTAAGACTGATGCATAGTCTTCAAATATCAAGCAATAACCAAACATTGGTTAATGCTACAAACAAAAGAAAGCGTGCGTTGCATCTTTCTGAGTTAGGTGAGGTTCTCCTTGCTTTTTTTCTTTTAGCATGAATTTTATGACTTGCGATTAACGATAACAAAACCAAGGAGAGAGGTTATTATGAGAAAAGGGCATTTCCAAGCTCACTTCATTATATTTGACCTCCAGTGACAGGGGGTTTGGGCTGCTCAATTTAACGTATTTTAATCGCAATTACGATTATGGCTTGCAACGATTACGAAAACAACGTAATCGAAATAAAACGATTTTTTTTTTTTATACTGTAGATATATACATTTATCTTAAGTCACATTTTAAAGCACAAAAAGACAGATATACTGAACAAGGTTGTTTTAACCCCGAAATCTATCACAGCAAATGGCAACTAAAGCTTGTGTGTCTGTAACCATTATAGCATCTCAGACTTTCTTTGGTTCCTGTAAAAGTTTTCACAATTTTTCCATAAAAAAACATCTACTATAGTCGGCCTGCATTTGTAGAAAATGTTTAAATCAAATCAAAGTTGAACAATTAGATTTAAAACATTTCTCGGATTGAAAGTTTTTATAAAACATATCAACAATAGGAGTTTCGGAAAATAGAGCTGTCTGAGATCTCTAGTCAGGGCGTGTAGCTTTGAAGCTTACTAGACAATAACTTGTTGGAACATGCATAAACACACACACACAAAACACCTGTTGTAGAACTACGCAAAGGTCAGCATGTAACGGATGAAAGGGGACTTCTGACTTATGACGTCTGTTTGTGCAAATATTTGCCACTTTTCACGTTTTTCTTTTCCATTTTTAACTTTAGGAGGTAAAATCCCCATGAAGATCAAATGAAGCATGATCTGACATGTCTGCTTTGGCATACCTCTGTGGTGGCTGAAAGATTTGAAGTTAATTAAAAGTCCTCTTTTGTCCGTTGACTGATGCCAGTGCAGCGGTATCTGGGTGGTGTGACGGGCGTGGGTGGAGGGGACGGGCTGGCCCACACAATGGGGGGCTTTGTAGGAGGCTATGATGTAGAGAGGAGGCTACATGATGTCAGGCAAGTGCTGGCTTCCTTCCATATATTCAACTCCAATGTTCCTCCCCCGAGCGTTTATAACACCTTCGCACAGCTGGATGAGGAGGAGCGGGAAGAGCAGGTGGTGGAGATCTATCCTGCAGGAGGAGCTGCAGCACAATGGCCTGCATTCCTTTCAAAAAATATGGTGGAGTACAATTTGGCAAGTAAGATGTTCAAAGACTGTTATATGTCAGAGGTCCTCGTACACTTTGCAGCTGCATTAAAGATGAAATCATTTAACTGAGAAAGTATTATGCTCAAACACAATACATTTGCCAGTTTAAAAAACCACAGAGCACATAACATATATTTTAGCATCTTTGCTCTTTATAACTACCTCTTTCATTTCTCTTTCAATAGCAAATCCATGCCTTTTTCCTCCTTCTATTCTCCAGCATCATAGTATGTTGTTCTAAGAGCGAGAGGAGAAGACTGATACCAATATCATACCTTCATTCTCACTATGAAGCTACTACCAAAAGCCAGTTAGCATTTATAACCATACAGAGTAGAAACGGTAGGAAGTTGATTAGCCTTGTAAAAAGTACAACTGCCTTACAGACAATTATGAATATAAGTCTATGGGAAAAAGTATCTTTTGGCCCTATGTTCTCACTTGAAAGATCATTATGGCTGCTCTTTCAAACTTCTCCTGTGGACTTGTGCGTACCTGTGAAGTTGCTGTGCAATTTTAATCCTTTGGTGGTTTAAATAACAAGATCTAACAGTATAAAATAGTTTAGAATGGCTTGTTACCTTTGAACATATACAGACTAGCTGTTTCCTTGTGTCCTTTCTTTGCAATAGGCTGGGAACTGGAAGCTTTATATTTTCTTCACAGACATGAAAGTGATATCAATCTTCTAACTCTCTGCCAAAAAGAAAATAAGCCAAAAGGTGAAATATTCTTTTAAAATGAAACTGTTAAAACACAGATTTCCAGAAGTGTTGACTTATAGGTTCACATTACAAATACAGATGGCAGTTGTGTAAATTCAGAAGGTCAGGTCACCTTGTCTTATTAGCCTGGTGGTTGTGCAGTGAGGCTGCTGACTCTAAGCCAGCCTGTGCCTGTTTTGGACCGCCGTGGGACCGCAGATAAGACCCAGAGTTGCAGGGGAGTGGTATGGATAAGCACAGAGAGCCCTTCAGTCCTTCTCACTGTCTTATTGTCTCTTACTGTTTCTCTTTCTCTCTCTCTTCCTGCCCCAATACTGTGGCTGTCAATTCTCAATTTCTCCTTCTACTCTCAGCTTCTCCTCGTCCCTCCCAGGCTAGAGGGATAACCATCTACCCTTTCAGCAAAAGCCACTGCCCTATCTGTCTCCCTGTGGCCTCCCTCTCAGCTCTCAGCTCTCTCTCTCTCTGTCTCCTCTGCCTTCATCTTGCTCTGGCAGGATAACCATCTCGCCTTTCAGCACAGACCAGCTCTTTCTAATGACTGTTTCCAGTGAAGAAGGACAGTGGAGAAGCTTTGTCCCACTCACTTTGGTGCATTTCAGCAGCTTAAGGGAAAGGGAAAGTCTACACCATGTTTTAATATTTGGACAGCACCACACTGAAGCACATTTAATTGAATGTGTTGGCAAGATAAAATAAGATTACTGCCTCTTTAAATTTGACCCTTGCTTGTTGAAATGTAATGTCAGCCGGCATAGTTCCCTATGATGCTTTTTAAAAAGTTCAACAATTATAAACCAATGGGATTAAACTTAATGTTAACTTGACTTCAAAATTCAAATGTCACTGGTCCTAGCAAAATGGTAATTAGCAATGCAGCTGCTAGTGCATTGGAGCTATAAGCGCATCATACCTTTTCTTATGCCTCCATGCCAGCAACAGCAGAGGCCCTCGGTTAAATGAGGAAGTGATGACATTTTGGAAAGATATGGGTGTCAACTGCAACTTGACCAGTTGTCATGCATTAGGCATACAACGTTGAAGTGGTAATTACATTTTCTATTTTCTATTCTACCATATGCTACGCTGCACTTGGGAATGTTTTCATAACTGATAACAAGAATGAGGATTCACATTTTGAAAAAAATTGAAAGTTGGAGGCCTTTACAAAGAGGTGTTTGAGAAACTTGGGTGTTTGTCAAACTGATAAAAGACTAACAAAATGTTTGAGTAAAAGAAACTGATAGGAGCAAGACAGTGTTTAAAAATCTATTTCTAAAGCAAAGCCAGGCAGGAGACCAAGAAGTCATGACAAGTGACGGGAACACTTCTGAAACTTTGAAGTCAATAGGCTCATGAGCTCTGAGAGGGAAAACATTAATAGAGTTTATGACAGAGGGAGAGAGTGAAGGAATGAGAGCACGGCAGAGGTAGGCAAGGAGCAAAGAACTGCTGCTCAGTTCAGGAGTGCAGATTTGACAAGCATTTAGATTCTTTTTTTCAAAGAAACCATGAAAAGCCCTCTTTCAGGCCTGGACTGAAAGGGGATTAGACAGAGGCATAGCGAGTGAAAGAAACTAACATTCCTTCACACATCTTGTGCATTTACCTGTCAAAGCGCTGCAATAAAGGTGCTCCCAATTGGGCGATATGCCAAGGGTTTGAATTCTAAAGGCATAAAGCGCTGTCTGTGAAACTCTAAACATCAACGTTACTATGCATCTTTGTGAAGAAAAATGGATTTAGATTTGAGTCGAATGACACAAATAGTTTTCTCTAATGTGTACACGCATCTTACGTTTCCAGCTGTATTCCCATAACAATTTAAATGTAAATCATAGCATATCTTTTCCTCTTCCTCTGACTGACTCCCATCCTATTCTGACCTTTCGGCATCAGTGGTTCATCAGTCCCTAGCCTTTCTGGGTTTAATATCCCTTGCAGCTATGGTGCATTGGTGCTATGGTCATTTGCTCTGGTTCCCGCCGATCTTTCTTTGAAGAATGCTTGGACTGTGCTGTGAGAAACATAAATCCTCAAACTGCAAATAATCTGTCCACTGTCCATGTCAGCACAGAGGGAACTAATGATTTTTTACATCATTAAGATTTTTCCGGCGCTTCAGGGTTCATTGTGTGACCACTCAGCCTTGAACTGTCACGCTAACAGTTCTAACCCATGACAAATTCAGTAGCATTTGGAGTTTTGGCCATCAACAGTGGAATGTGTGAAAGTCTTTTTTGTTGTTTTTTATACGCCAGTTTGATAGAGATCAAGTGGTTTAGTCTGACCTTGTCAAAACGGACCTTCATAAAGGAAAGGACTTCATTGTTGGTTCCAGTCTAAGATTATTACACCACCGAGAAAGTATTTGTAAGGCCATCAAGGCCAGCCAGCACAGACGCTTCCGTGCGAGCCATGCAGCTAGTTGACATTTCACACATTTGCTCTTTTACTTTGTGATACTATGCAGTAAAGAATTAATCATTTTTGGTTAGAACATTTTTATTTTCAAATGTCTACATTTATCTACATACTATTGTTTTCAGCAGGCCTAGCTTTTTTTGCATAAACATTCACAATAACACGCAATTATTAAATATTAGAATAACAATAGCCTCCATTTAAGTCTACAGTGCAAGCAAGTGGCAGTCAAATGTTTTTTGCGTTAGCTAGATGCATAAATAACGTATGTAGAATTTATAAAAAAGCTTTAAGCTATTAACATAATCGCTTTAAATGTAAGACTACACGGACCACCCCTCTTCTTTAAACGCCAAGGTTAAGATCCAATTCAAGTACTGTATGGTGTAACGGTCAGAACTTAAATTGGCATCTTACCGATGTACCCTAAAAAATAATTATTGGTAATGTTTTTCAGACAAAGGTTTGGAATGGTTTGAATATACTGATTTCTGTATGTACTGTGTTTACAATATAGAAAATAATTAGAGGCTTTGTTTGTAAAAAAAAATTCTGATCTCCTCTATATTTGTTGGCCTATAGCCTTTTAAAACAACTTTTTCACTGCAATAAACTGTTGGCTCACCTTCTTTCCACACACAAAGGGAGGCCACCTACTTGTTTAAATATTGACAATACAAAGGAATTTATTTAATTAAAGAAGAAATAACTCAATTTATCTGATGAATAATTCTCAGATTGAAACATTCTTAGCTTCATTGGATAAACCTCAATGAAAGTTAAACAAATTTACATTTGGTAAAGTCCTATTACTGTGTTATGTTGCAACTATGGTAACATTAACTTAAAGAGTAGCCAAAATCATTTTTAATTTGTTGAATGATGTTATTTTTCAATATAGGCACAATCACATGCCCACAAATATGATGCTTTACTTTTGTGTCTAAACTAGATTAAACACAAACTTTACTCGATATTGCACCACTAACATCCTGGAAATGACTAAGCTTCCCATAAAGCCCCTTTTCCCCGAAAGATCCCAGGCACAGCTGGGGGTTGTGGTTCTTCAGTCATTATTTGGAAATGGTCAAGGCCCATGCTGTTTTGCATCAGGCAGCAGAAGTGTGTGACATCAGCGATGGTGGCCTACATAGAACAATGATTTGGTGGCCTGGTTTCTGAAATGAGCTACTGTGGCGAATGGTGCTCTGTGATGTTTCATGGAGTGTCATTGTGGGTTTTTTGGGAGAAGAAGCCGGTTGCAGGCAATGAGAAAAACAGAAACCACAGATTTAATAGTGCTGACATTCTCTAAGCATCTTTATCTGCATCTTGACAGTGTTATGTGTGCCTATCTTCTCCATCAGTCTTTGTTTGTTGTCTGCCTACCTGCCAGCCTATATAGAACATGTATTCCACTGTGTTGTCTTGCTACCCATTAACCATGTTACTTGTTACTCATGTTTCTGTTTGCTTGCCTTTTGGTTGTCTCGGCCTGGCTGTCAGTTAGCCGTGTCTCTCTGTCTGTTGTCAAGATATTTCACTGACTCACAGTGACTAAGTGAGGCCTGAAGTGCTAGCCTGTTCTGACCTGACTTCCAAATAGACAGCTTGGCACGCAAACCATGCACACACGCACAACTACACCAAAACAGGACTTCCTTGTACAACGGTAGTTCCCATGTCAACCCGTTTGAGATCTGGCTTTTTAATATGACTAACTGGTTGTGGGATCTATGAGCAATCATTGATGAGAACAATCGTTGAAGCCCACAGCCATAATGCGTGTGACTGTCAGTTAATAGGAACACACATACTGAAATACACAGTGCCCATTTGG